TGCTGTTCCTCCTTGGACCTCCTTGGATTGACGTTTTCTCCTTTGGGAGAAAACCTGGGCGCAACCTGGGCGCTTCTGGAAACCAGGACGACTCTGCTATGAAGACACTCAGGAGCAGCAAGAGCGATGTGGGCGCTTGGGAAGAATACGACGACAGCACCTTCATGGAGCCGAGGTACCACGTCCGTCGAGAAGATCTGGACAAGCTCCACAGAGCTGCCTGGTGGGGTAAAGTCCCCAGAAAGGATCTCATCGTCATGCTCAGGGACACTGACGTGAACAAGACGGACAAGCAAAAGAGGTAACCGGGCCTGGGCTGGGAGGAGGAGGGACGTGGGGGGGTGATGGAGGAGGGACAGGGCGGGGTGATGGGGACAAACCCTCCTGGCAGGGGAGGAGGGGGGCTGGCTTTCTTGTCTCCGCAGGCCCCACACCACCCTGGGTGTGGAAACCTCAGCGAGGTCAGAGGTCAGGGCACAGGTCCCTTTGTGAGCAGCAACACAAAACAAAACTTGAGCTGATTTCCAATCCAATTATAATCTCCCTCACAGAACACTAATAGATTGTTTTAAAGTGATTTAACTCGAAAAATTAAGTTGATGCAGCAGATTATTTTTAATGTACACATTTTAAAGCAATGTTCTATATATTATAGAAAAGTGTATATTGAGAACTAAGAACGAAGCCCCATAACATATCAACTTCAAGGCTAAATATTCTTCAAATAAAATCCAGTATGGATTTTTTATCAATGTACCCTATGTAAATATGTTCTTTACTGAGGAGCCTTAGAAACTGAAATGGCAAGAAGGTTTGTGCTTGAAGGAAGAGATTGAATTTCTGAAGATGTGAGCTTTTTCTGTTTATCACTTTTACCTAAATAAATAAAAATAGGAAAGTTTTAGAGTTTTTACACCTGCTGTCTTTTATTATTGTGATAAATTATTTTTGTAACAGAATGGAAAAAGGCACCTTTCCAGATATCTGTAAAATGTGCATGTGCTATTTCCACAAATTGTTTACTAACAGCCGAAAAGATCAATGAGTAGAACAGAATAGGAAATCCAGAAATACCCAAATATATGTAAGAATTTAGCACTTGATAATGGTGATATTTTGTATTATTTAAAAAGGTGCATTGTTCATAATTCATTTTGGAGAAAACTAGCTAGATTTTTATATGCAAATAAAGTATAGATTAAAAAATTTTAAATATACAAAAGGAGAAACATACCAGAAGAAAACACAAATGCCTATTTATATATGCAGAGATATATATATATATATATATTTTTTGACAGAGTCTCACTCTGTTGTGCAGGCTAGAATGTGAAGTGGTGTGATCTTGGCTCACTGCAATCTCTGCCTGGCTAGGTTCAAGCAATTCTCTGCTTCAGCCTACTAAGTAGCTGGGATTAAAGGCGCCTGCCACCATGCCTGGCTATTTTTTTTTTATTTTTAGTAGAGATAGGGTTTCACCATCTTGGCCAGGCTGGTCTTGAATCCTGTCCTTGTGATCCATGCACCTTGGCCTCCCAAAGTGCTGGGATTACAGGCGTAATCACTATGCCCGGCCTATATATGCAGATGTAATAATAAAATAAGCATTCTAAAATTGGGCATAGAACTTTTTGGCGTATCTACCAAGTGACCTACGTACATTGAAAGACAATGTATTTCCTGTTAGGAGAAGGAATTTAAGTTAGAGGAATGAAATACTGTTTTCTACTTAAGTTAGAAGAGGAGTGAAAGGCCGGGTGCAATGGTTCACGCCTGTTATCCCAGCAGCACTTTGGGAGGCTGAGGCAGGCGAGATCACAAAGTCAGGGGTTTGAGACCAGCTTGGCGGTGTGGTGAAACCCCATCTCTACTACTAAATACAGAAAATTAGCTGGGCATGGTGGCATGCATCTGTAATCCCAGCTACTCAGGAGGCTAAGGCAGAGAATTGCTTGAACCAGGGAGGTGGTTGCAGTGAGTCGGAATGCACCACTATACTCCAGCCTGGGCAATGGAGTGAGAGTCCATCTCAAAAAAAAAAAAAAAAAAAAAAGGAATGAAATACTGCTTTTATCCACAAAGTTTGTGAGGATGAAGAACAGTAATTTTTATATAGTTGTTCCAAGTTTAAGTTGCTGCAGCTTTTCAAACACACACTTTGTTGGTAAGAACCACATTTTTAAATGTATATGCTTTTACTGATCAATTCCATTATACTGAAATATCTTTACAGAAACAGATACATCTGTTTTTCTTAGTATTAGCAAAACAGCAGTGTATTTAGAAGAATTCTAGATTTTATGAACAAATTTGATTGCATCCATAGGGATGGAATAATAAGTAACTATTGAGGCGTCAGTAGGTACAGAGATATGTTGACATGCAAAATGTACTTTTGCTCTATCAGGTGAAAAAATCAAGTTTGTTACACATATACACACAAGTATAATCTGCTCTTGTGTTAGCTGAAAAATATGTAGAAAATATAATCAGCTTATTTCTGGGGATTTGTAAGTGAAGATTTTTCCTTTCTCTTATCTGTGATTTCTGCAATGAACATCTGAAGTTTAGTTAAGGTTCATTAGTAATGAAATAATCCTTGGGGAGAGAGAAGGAATATGCTGCTGCATAGATACAACTAATTTCTCACATTTCTATTATTTATTTTATTTCTGTGGATTATTTGTCTTCTGTGAACTTTCATCCTCTTCAGAAGTAGAGAGATTCTGTTTACTTGTTCCTGTAGATTTTATTGTATATACATTTTATTATATAATTATCTTTTCATTATATATAGGTTAACATGTGTAAAAAGTGTGATTCATTTTAGTTGAGTTATGTACTTATGAAAATTAAAATAGCAAATATAAATGATTATTACTGTTGCAAATGTATTCTCCTGTTCCTGTAGATTTTATTGTATATACATTTTATTATATAATTATCTTTTCATTATATATAGGTTAACATGTGTAAAAAGTATGACTCATTTTAGTTGTTATATACTTGTGAAAATTAAAATAGCAAATACAAATGATTATTACTATTGCACATGTATTCTCCTACTCTACAGCAGTTTTCTTTAAAAATATTGAACTCCCAAGCTGCGTTTATCCATTCTTTCAGTCCATTTAGTCATCAGACATAAGCCAGACACCGATTATGTGGCCGGCGTATTCTACTATCTCAGGATCCTTCCATCTTTGAAAACTTCATGTTTACCTGCTGGGCATGAGCAAGCTGAGAGATTTAAAGTTGGAGTATTAGGACTTAATCTCAATTGAAGCTTTTCCTCCCTCCTTTCAAACAAAAACATTTCTGAAGGTAGAAAATAGTAAAAGATAACCTTTAATTGCCTTTTTGAACATTTATAAGTCTTGGATAAAGACTGTTTCAGTTGTTTTAAGAACTAAAATGTGGTAGATAAACAGCAGGGACTACTATGCAGCCATAAAAGAAACAACGAGAGCATGTCCTTTGCAGGGACATGATGGTGTTGAAAGCCATTATTCTCAGCAAACTAACATAGGAAGAGAAAACCAAATACTGCATGTTCTCACTTATAGGTGGGAGCTAAATGATAACACACAGATACCTAGAGGGAAGGAACACACACTGGGGCCTATCAGAGGTGGAGGGTGGGAGGCAGGAAAGAAGCAGGAAATAGAATGAGCAGGTACTGGCTTAACGCCTGGGTAATGAAATCATCTGTACAACCAACCCCCTTGGCGCACGTTTACCTGTGTAACAAACCGGCACATCTGCACCTGTACCCCTGAATGTAAACGTTGAAAAAAGCTCCACAAATAGTTTCATAAATCCATTTTAAAAAGAGAAAATTTATAACAGTCTTAAATCCTAATAGGAAAGATTGGAAATATCTGATGTACATACATTGTATAAATCTAAGTATTGAAAAAAATGAGCCCATGGTATTTATTTGAATTTCCAGGTTTTCTTTGGCTTAAAGATTTTTGAAAACCAAAGTAAGAATTATTTTAGAAATTTGTTTTTGTTTTCACCTCAGCCCTCTTATTCCATAGTTTTTTGTTTGTTTGTTTGTTTGTTTGTTTGTTTTTTGAGACGGAGTCTGGCTCTGTGGCCCAGGCTGGAGCGCAATGGCCAGATCTCAGCTCACTGCAAGCTCCGCCTCCCGGGTTCACGCCATTCTCCTGCCTCAGCCTCCCGAGTAGCTGGGACTACAGGCGCCCGCCACCTCGCCCGGCTAGTTTTTTGTATTTTTTAGTAGAGATGGAGTTTCACTGTGTTAGCCAGGATGGTCTTGATCTCCTGACCTCATGATCCGCCCGTCTCGGCCTCCCAAAGTGCTGGGATTACAGGCTTGAGCCACTGCGCCCGGCCCATAGTTTTTTTAAGAACTAAAATTTATCTAAATGCTGGTCATCTGACTGGAACCGCCCCAGCCCTGTTATAACATATTCTACTTAATGTAAGGCACCAGGGGTTGTATGATGCCCCGCGATTTTATGTCTCAATAAGAGAATTATTTAAATGCCGCCAATTATAGTAAATCATGAATTGTAAGTGGTATTTCAGTGGAGACAACATGGAGACAATGATCATCTTAGAATCACTGAAATACGACGTTACCTGTAGTCTTTAAAACATACCTGAAAGTGTAGGTATAATTGTATCATCTCACTTAATTCAAATGTCTTTAGGGTATTAGTAACAATTATAATATCTAACAATTATTGAGCTGTTTTTTGTGTTAGGAACTATTCTATATCTTTTGTGTAGAGTCTCATTTAAGCATTACAGTGGTTTCCTGTGAGAAAGCTACTATTTTCATTCCCATTTTATTTATTTATTTATTTATTTTTTTGAGACTGAGTCTCGCTCTGTCGCCCAGGCTGGAGTGCTGTGACCGGATCTCAGCTCACTGCAAGCTCCGCCTCCCGGGTTCACGCCATTCTCCTGCCTCAGCCTCCCGAGTAGCTGGGACTACAGGCGTCCGCCACCTCGCCCTGCTAGTTTTTTTTTTGTATTTTTTAGTAGAGACGGGGTTTCACCGTGTTAGCCAGGATGGTCTCGATCTCCTGACCTCGTGATCCGCCCGCCTTGGCCTCCCAAAGTGCTGGGATTACAGGCTTGAGCCACCGCGCCCGGCCCATTCCCATTTTATTGATGAGGAAACTGAGACACCAAAAGGCTAAGCAACAGCTGGGAAGCGACAGAGCTTCAAGTAGGGTTCCAGCCCAAGCTGAAAGTCATCCAAGGGCTGTGCTATTTCTATTCAAATAGGCTGCTCTTTAATTAATATAGCGAGTAATGAGAGGTAATAAACAGTGTGCTTTCTTCATGGGAAAATTAAATGTTTGTTTTGAAGGCAGAGTAATAGCAGGCTATTCAGTGCTTGCAATTACACGAATCATTGATGTGCCTGTAGCTAGTGCACTACAATTTCCTAAAACGTCTTCTCACTCTCCTAGGACTGCTCTACATCTGGCCTCTGCCAATGGGAATTCAGAAGTAGTAAAACTCCTGCTGGACAGACAATGTCAACTTAATGTCCTTGACAACAAAAACAGGACAGCTCTGACAAAGGTATGAGCAGCCAACTGTATCAGCGTGAGATGGGTTTGATTTCAATACATAGCATAAAAATGAGTTTTCTCCTCTAAATGTAACTAGTTGGTGAAAGCTGTGGAATGTTACTTTGAATTCCTAGCATTTATAATTTGTTTTTGGTCTAACACTGACAGGCCGTACAATGCCAAGAAGATGAATGTGCGTTAATGTTGCTAGAACATGGCACTGGTCCAAATACTCCAGATGAGTATGGAAATACCGCTCTACACTATGCTATCTACAATGAAGATAAATTAATGGCCAAAGCACTACTTTTACATGGTGCTGCTATTGAATCAAAAAACAAGGTATAGATCTACCAGTTTTCTTTTCAAAATACTGAAATGCATTCATTTTAACAGTGACCTGTGTAAGGGCCAGTTTTCCGTATTTGGAAGCTCAAGCATAACCTGAATGAAAATATTTTGAAATGACTTAATTATCTAAGATTTTATTTTAAATATTGTTACTTTCAAAGAAGCATTTGAGGGTACAGTTTTTTTTAATGCACTTGTGGTAAATACTTTTTTTGAAAACACTGAATTGGTAAAAGGTAATACTTACTGTTTTTCAATTTTTCCCTCCTAGGTTTTTTTTTTCCCTAATGAATGTAAAATTGCAAAATTTGCCTTGAAATAGGTTTTACACGAAAACTCCAAGAACACTTAAACATGTTTCAGTGAATAGAAATCCTGCTGCTTTGGCAAGTTCCTAAAAAACAGTAATAGATGTGAGGTGATGCACCTCTCAGTGGCAAGGCTTAAGATATTTCTGATTGTTCATGAGGCAGAAGTGGAAAGGGAAAAAGAGCAATCAGAAATATCAAGGCCAGTTTGGAAATTAGGTAATAGAGGGAAAAGACCATGAAGAGGTTGTGTGTGTGTGTGTGTGTGTGTGTGTGTGTCTATGTCTATCTGTGTGTGGTTCATTTATTTGTTTCCCTTGTATGGTGAGACAAGGTTCTCTTCAATTTTAGAGAATGACAGTTTTCATTTTGGGAGAGGGGGTTAGTGAGTTGTGAACTGCCTAGAGATCAATTTTAGGAGGCCTCTGAAGAACCAAATTGGCAGTGAATAGGTGGTCATGTAATGGGAAACCCTTGAGCAGAGGGAATAACAAGTAATTAACTGACTTAGTATCCTATTCTGGTAGAAATGGCCAGTTAGAGTCTCAACTCTGCTTTCAAATCTAGCATGTCTGGATGGGAAGGTGGGAGATAAGGAGCTTTAAGTAACAAGATCAAGTTGGATTTTGAGTTTACTAGACCTTGTTCTTCTCTTAGCGGGGAAAATTATGTGGTGTTTTCAGCAAATGATTCTGTCTCCTACTCTTTCCTCTTTTTGGCCAAATCTTCAAATGAGAAAGGGAATTGGTCATGTGGGTGAGAAATGAGACTGAGTAACTGTCTGTTGTATTAGCTTCCAGCTAGAATTTTGCATCCTAGTAACCTGAGGAAAATTTTTAAATAATCAATAAGTTTAGGCTTTTTCCTGAAGATTTTGATAGAGTAAGTCCAGTAAAGCCTAGATATGTATGTTTAAAAATGTTTCCTTGAAGCCAGGCATGGTGGTGCATGGCTGTAGTCCCAGCTGCTAGGGAGTCTGAGCAGGGAGGATTGCTTGAGCTCAGGAGTTCGAGTCTAGCCTGGTTAACATAATGATACCCTGTCTCTAACAACAACAACAACAACAACAACAACAACAACAATTTTCTCAAATTCTGGATACATACCTGCTTAAGAACCACTGAACACATAAATGTAATATGTAAATTCTTATATCTCAGAAACTTAAGATATCTGTAGAAGAGTTGGAGTTGGATATGTGCTGATTTCTTTAAATCTTTCCTATCCAATTACATTAATCTGACTTTTTTTTTTTTTTTTTGAGATGTGGTCTCACTCTGTTTCCCAGTCTGGAGTGCAGTGGTGCAATCACAGCGCACTGCAGCCCTGACCTCCCCAAGCTCAGATGGTTCTCCAACCTCAGTTTTTGTATTTCTTTTTTTTTTTTTTTTTTTTTTTTTTAGTAGAGATGAGGTTTTTGCCATGTTTCTCAGGCTGGTCTTAAACTCCTGGGCTCAAGTGATTCACCTGCTTCAGCCTCCCAAAATGCTAGGATTACGGGTGTGAGCCACCGTTCCTGGCCTAGTCTGACTTTTATCTCTGTGGTGAGACATTAAAATGAATATTATTGGCAGTATCTATCAGCTTACAGAGTAATACCCTTTCCTTCCTACCGTCAGTTATTCGCTGCCATTCAGAAGGTCTTTAGAAATGTGCGGTGAGTAGTCTTTGAGTCAGTAGAGGATGATCCTCTCGGGATTTTGTGTCTCTTTGTTATCATTCAAGTGCTTAGGTCAGTAAGTCGTCGTTAAGAGCAGAGTTTTCTCAGTTAGAATTGTAGCAAATTGTAAACTGTTTTTCTGTCAATTGAAGCTGTGTTATGGACTATCCAGTGTGTCTCGGAAGTATGTAGAGCTTTGGCATAATCAGCATGGCAGTTCTAAACACTAGAAACCATGGAGTCATTAAGAATACAGCTAGGAATTCTGTAATTTAGTTTCAGTAGTCCTATGAACTGATTATCTATTAACAATCTGGAAAAATTAAATATAAATAGATTTTCAATAAATAAATGTTGGGAAATTTTTTCAAATGGGCAGTATGAGTATTAATAGCAATTTTTATTACCTGTTGGAGCTTGAACTTTTGGTAAAACATGTGAAACTAAAGAAATATTTTACATGCAAATTATTGCTTTATACACAACAATTTTTCTTAGGGTGGAGGATATAGAGACAAAAGATACAGCCCCTGCCCTCAAGAAGCTCTTTGTTTAGATGGGGAAAATATTATCATCCAATAATAGCTTGCCAAATGGTGGGTTAGAAGCAAAGAGTCTTGGAAGCAGTGAATGTTGAAAGTGAGTTTTTGAGATGATCAGAGTTGATGTGGTGAGGGAGAGAAGGGGTGTTTCCAAGGGAAGGAGCAGCATGTGGGAAAACACAGAAGATTGAGGAGGAAGCAGCTACATTTTATTTACTTTGTATGCGTGTAAGTCCTAGGATCTTATATAAAGTTTCCGCTTCAGTTGAGGAGTATGTACTTTTTTGAATTACATTCGTTTTTGCTTTATATTGTTTTACAGCATGGCCTCACACTGCTGTTACTTGGTGTACATGAACAAAAACAGCAAGTGGTGAAATTTTTAATCAAGAAAAAAGCTAATTTAAATGCACTTGATAGATATGGAAGGTATAGTTATTTCTTTTAATCTGTGTGTTGTTAACTGGATTGATAGCAGTCACTCAAGTCACAAATGTTAAATTAATAAGATTAATGTGTACTTATTGGGACAGTGATCAGTATCAACACAAATCAGTCAGGTAGAAAAACAATTATTTGGACTGGGCAACATAAAGAACAGTTTTTGTAGGATTCATCTTCTCTTATTGTATTGACTGATGTTCTTTGTTGTATGATGTTTTGGTTACATGATCTTATGTTAACTAGAGGGATTTCGTATTGATTTTATGAAGTGTGAACTTTAACTTTCAGTTTACTTTATGACTCAGTATTGAACTTCTTAACCCTTTCTACCAGTTTTTAACCTCTGTGTCTTATATGCTTTTCCACTAAATACGCTGTATTAAACATAAATAGGGGTTGAAAATTCTTTTGTCTTTTCAATGACTGTGCTTTAAGTTGCTTTCTTTGAAGAATATTAATGTTAGCTTATCCCTACATGACAATTAATTGCTATTCCCACATACTGTGGGTTCAACAGCTTTCTTCCTTTTTTATTTCCAGTGTATTTTGATGTTTTTATTTTTAATTGGTATGGAAAGAGGGAGTGAAGATAGTTTTAAGTGGATACACTTTTCCTTTCATGAAGGCAAGCTGTAGGTGGGTGATAAAGAGAAAAGAGCTAGGCTTTGGATTCACACAAGTCTGAGTTTAATTCCTAGCTTTCTTACCTGCTAGGTGTGTGACCTTGGGAATGTTACTTACCACCAAATATGTTGTCATATATGAAAAGTAGGAGAGCATATGCTTCAAAGTTGACTGTGCATAATAAGTAAGAGAGATATATATGGCACTTAATTCAGTGCCTAGTACATGCTTATTGGCATCATTAACTGACACTCCTGTGACTACTATTCTTACTATTATTATTATTACTGCTTTCAGCATGCAGAGAGCTCTTGTTTATGTTACCCTCTAGCTGATTTTCTATTACAGCGTATCAGTCTAGGGAAGCTATGATGAAATCTTCACTTAAATCTTTGTCCACTTCAGATAAGTGGTCCAAACATTGTTTCTTGCCCATCAAAGGACTTTAAATTAGTAGCTTCTACTATGCAATGCCCCAGTGAGATAAGAGGTTTCCTTTTTGTCCCTTCCTTTTAACCTTGGTGGTATTTTACAAAGATGAACACTTGAGCACCCAAGATGCTATGTCTTTTGGTGCATGTAAATGTTTGATTCTGCACGGAGAGACAAGATGTTAAATTGGTAAAATATATCAAATTAGCTTTAAAAATAACTTTATTGCAGTTCCTAAGGGAGAAATTATCTCTGTCATTTTAGAACTGCTCTCATACTTGCTGTATGTTGTGGATCAGCAAGTCTAGTCAGCCTTCTACTTGAACAAAATATTGATGTATCTTCTCAAGATCTATCTGGACAGACGGCCAGAGAGTATGCTGTTTCTAGTCATCATAATGTGTAAGTGTTTACATTAAAAAGCAAGTTAATGCTAAATTGAGGTTTAAAATAATTGTAACAATTGCATCTTACGTATCAGGTGAGATGTCATAGTTCGGTTCAGATAGTTTTAGAATGACAGTGAGTTAGTTCCTTGCATCAGCCAGAAATCACAAAAAAAGCAAGACAAGTTAGAAGTACCAGTGGGTGGAGGATTCTTTATCTCGGGACTTTTAAGACCTTTATCCTTAGAGATCCCAACATTGTTCATTTCATCCAAGTATAACACCTATGCATGGGATAAAAAATGGTGTCGTATCTTTGATTTTTCTGATTAGTTATTTGGGTCTTGAAATGTCCAGTTTAGCAGAAAGCAAGATCTATCTGGACAGACGGCCAGAGGAGTATGCTGTTTCTAGTCATCATAATGTGTGCGTTTACATTAAAAAGCAAGTTAATGCTAAATTGAGGTTTAAAATAATTGTAATAATTGCATCTTACGATCAGGTGAGATGTGTCATAGTTCGGTTCAGATAGTTTTAGAATGACAGTGAGTTAGTTCCTTGCATCAGCCAGAAATCACAAAAAAAGCAAGACAAGTTAGAAGTACCAGTGGGTGGAGGATTCTTTATCTCGGGACTTTAAGACCTTATCCCTAGAGATCCCAACATTGTTCATTTCATCCAAGTATAACACCTATGCATGGATAAAAAAATGGTGTCGTATCTTTGATTTTTCTGATTAGTTATTTGGGTCTTGAAATGTCCAGTTTAGCAGAAAGCCTGTACTGTCTTCTCTGGGGACTGTCTCCTGCTATACCCATGAATTTTTCAAGAACCGGAGTGGGTTCACTAAATCCAAGTGAAGACAGTCCCTTTATCAAGTCAGAAGGAGGAGGAAAAAAAGGACATTCCAGTCATTCTGTTGTTCCATTGTTTCTGTCGCTGCATTGTTGCCACTCAAACTGGTCCTGCTGCCTGGTAATGGTTGACCTTTGACACCAAGATGCCCTTACTGATTCAGATCCCTCAAGCCTTCCTGGCAATTCACGGTGACTTTGGAAGTCACAGCATTTTAGCCCTACTACCTAAAAGTTTTATATGCTCAGCCATTGTTCCCAAAGCACCAGCACCCTGCTCTGGCTACAGCATCCTGATCTTATCCGCAGACAAAGTGAGCAGGTTGACCTTCCCCATATTCAGAACCTAATGTGGAACCCACATCTTAGCCAAGAATGAGCTGAGACCTTCATGGTCAGAGATCCTTTGGGGCAGTTGTTGGTCTTTTCTCTAGCAGATATCAGGTGGGCTTGTTCTGAAGGGTCAGAGGGGTTCAAATAATGTGGGAGAAAGAGATCAGTGTTTGTTTCTTCTTGTTACCAGATCTGTGCTGTGAGGCACCTTTATATCCTGTATAGAACCTTAGGCAGGAGAAAGTCCTATATGAACCTCTGCCGAGCAGGCTCCCGGTTGTGGTTGGCCCTTGAGTGATCTGTTTTACATGATAATGAAAATCGTCCAAGCTACTTCTATCTCTAGCTCAAGATTTTAAAATATTTTCAAATTCTACTCAGAAGCCATTGAAGAGAATTCTCAGAATCTCAAGTAGGTTAGTTGGACTTAACAGAGCCAAGCCTCGTCCATGACTCATCATTAATCATGTGTAAAAGTAGGGCTTTGTGCTTGCTTCGGCGGCACATATCCTAAAATTAGAACAATACAGAGAAAATTAGCATGGCTTGCATATGATGCAGCACAAATTTTTGAAGCATTCCATATTCTGTGCAGTCACTGGAAGGTCATTTGACTATTTGCTGACTAGCTGTAAGGAAACACTGTGAAGCAAAGCAAAAGATGGGTGCCACCAAAAATACTGGGTAATAGTGATTTGCGCTGCAAAAATAGTCATGTGTAAGATGGTCTATGAGATGACTTAGAGCTGAATAATATGTTCAGTGCAAAAATTATATTGTTAGTATGTGGCTATTTTGCAAACTAGAAATGTCAACTTGCAACTTCTTCATGGAAACTAAAAAATAAAGAGTTTTGGTCTCCCCTGCCAGCTGGCATTGAACGTCAATATAAAGCATTATCCTAACAAACATCTAGCTCAGAGTTGGAGTCTGTAGAGAAGGATCATTGGTCCAAGCCGGTCTTAACATCCATTGGTTTTTTTCATTCTTAGTGTGATTTGGTCAACTCCATAATAGTGGACAATCACATTAGCTACTTCTTTAATGAGGATATTTATGAATAAATTTAGTTACAACCATGACATAGTTGAGATGCCCTGAATTATAAGCCATAAGGAGTAGGACAACTGAAAAGCAAAATTAGACTTAATAACATTTTCTGAAAAACTGGCATTTGCATATTAGAACCTACGAACAAAATACACGTTGGGTTTCATTTGGGATTCCAAGATACTTTTAGTCATAAAGTTTAGAAACAGATTATTCCATTGCTTTACTATTTCTCTTGAGCATTTAAAAATATCTTGTTAAATCTTTATAGCAACCTAGTGAAATGTGAAATAAGGCAGCAAAGTCCTTACTTTGCTGAAGAAGGCATTGAGGCCTAAGAGAAGCAAATTGTCCAAGAACAAATAGCTGTCTATTATGGAGCTAGACTTATGCAGAGCTGGGACACTTTCTATTATGTCATGATAATGTAAGCTAATTTACTGGGTCACCATGCCCTTGATTTATGAGCATTTCACCTTACGTTGTTTTCTTCTTTAATTAGAAGCTTAAAGAGAAGTTTCTGTAGAATGTACTCAAGTGAATGATGATACTGTTAAGTTCTGATATTATGATATTAGAAATACTCTAAGAATTTTACATTTGGTAAGTATTTTTTATATCAGTATTAAAATAGTAATTTGGTTTATTGCATTTTATACATAGAATTTACTAAAGGTTTTCTGACTACAAAGAAAACGGATAAAAATCTCTTCTGAAAATAACAATCCAGGTAAGACTTGTGATAGTGAATTACTTTAGGTCAGTTGTCCCCTAACCTTTTTGGCACCAGGACTGGTTTTGTGAAGACAATCTTTCCATGGGCTGAGGGAAGGAGTGGTTTCCAGATTATTCAATCATGTTACATTTATTGTGCTACTTTATATTATTATTACATTGTAGTATATAATGAAATAATTATACAACTTAGCATCATGTAGAATCCAGGAAGCTCTGAGCTTATTTTTCTGCAACTAGACGGCCTCATCTGGGGGCAAAGTCCCATGGCCCGCAGGATAAGCCCTACTCATTTCTACAGTATTAAAACGTCTACCATAAACTTGCCTTAGCTAAGTATTCACCTCATTCCCAACCTCTGGTATCTCACACTTTTGGTACTAGCAAAAGTGAACTGCTCAGAAACCCCGCAAAGTTCACTCAAGTGTCTTTTCTTTTGCACTTGCTGCTCTTCCTGCCAAACAGGTAATCTCATTAGACGTTCCTTCTGGCAAACACACCAACTCGTTGCATGTTCCTTCTGCCAAACATTATTCTTCTGCTTCTTTACCTAGAAAAATTCTTCTCACTCTGTATGTTTACCTTAAATCACACCTGCTTTTTTTCCAAAACTTTTATTCCTCATCACATATGTCTGGCACATAATCAATATATAATAAATCATAATTATGTCAGCAGTGGGCATCTAGCACACAGTAAGCACTGAACAAAGCTAATATCAACAAAAATGACAATGATAATAACAAGCTCTATCTGTATTTTTGTTTGTGTTCTGTGCTTTATTCTAAAAAATGGTTAGAATCTAAAGATATTTGATAGTTGTTTGTTGAAGTGGACAGAGTGAAAACACTGTAAATAAAAATGTGTGCTTTGAAAAATTCTGGTAGGCACCGGAGATGGGACCGGCTCTGTTGAGGCGCATTAGGGTCAAGCTGCATCTTGTTCCATGCGTATGCCACGGCATGAGCCTGGCTTTGGAAATCTGCTTTGATGAATGAGACGGCTAAGGTGTCTCGCACAGATTTAGATTATACAATGTATCAGAGTGTCCACAAACCAGTAGCATACTAGCCTTTTTATTTATTGTGAAACATTTTCTTACCTTATAACCTGCTGAGCCTAGAGTAGTTGTATATTATTTATAGCAATCTTTTGGCAAATGGTAGCAAGAGCATCTTCTTTCAAAATTACTGTTATCATGACAATTAACCAGCAGGTAGAACACTTCTTGTTCCAACAAATAAAAGATATTTGATAGTTATTTGTTAAGTGGACAAGTGAAAACATAAATAGAAATGTATTCTTTGAAAATTCTGTTGAAAAAGCACAGAAATGGAGACAGCTCTATTATGAGCACCTTAAAGATCAAAACTACATCTGTTCCATCTTTGTCTCCTGCAACTTATGAAACCTAACTTACAGAAGCTCTGTGATAGACAGACAGCTAAAGGTGTCCTCGTACAGTTTGGATTATACAATGTATCAGGTGTCCACAAACCAGTAGCATACTAGCCTTTTTGTTATTGTGAAACATTTTTCTACTTTTATTATAACCTGCTGAGCCTAGAGGGGGCAATTTGTATATTTATTATGGCAATCTTTTGGCAAATGGTAGCAGAGCATCTTCTAACAAAATTACTGTTATCATGACAATTAACCAGCAGGTAGAACACTTCTTGTTCCAACAAAGTAAATGTATCTCTTTCCAACTTCAAATGAGGAGGAACGAAGTCAGTAACAGTGAAACCTTGTTGGGACAAGCGTATGTAACATGACTTGTGCTTCAGCATTTTGTGATCAAAAATTCCTTACTTTTACTTTTTTATCTATGGTAGGACCACCCAGAGCAGGGGTCCACAACTCCCAGGCCACAGAGTGGGACCCATCCATGGACTATTATGAGCCACACCACACAGAAGGAGGTGAGCAGCAGGCAAGCCAGGGAAGCTTCGCCTGTGTTTACAGCCACATCCCAAGGCTCATATTACCGCCTGAACTCTGCCTCCAGTCAGACCAGTCAGAGAATTAGATACTCATTGGAGCATGAACCCTGTCGTGAACTGCCCGTCTGAGGGATCTACGTTCTGTGCTTCGTATGAAAATCTAATGCCTGATGATCTGTCACTGTCTCA